CTACACCTTGCTTCATGGAAGACTGCCTTCCTTGTTGCAGTGACTTCAGCCCATAGATCCTCTGAACTCTGCACCCTTTGGGTAGACCCCCCTTTTCTAAATTTTCATAAGGAAAAAGTGGTTCTTCGGCTGGATCCGTCTTTCCTTCCGAAAGTCGCTGCTTCGTTTCACATGCAACAGGAGATTGTTTTACCGGCATTCTTTCCGACCCCTTCGAATCCGATAGAGCGATCTCTACATATGCTGGATGTTCGCCGTTGCTTAGCCTTTTATAGGTCCAGGACTGAGTCTGTTCGGCGTTCCAATAGACTTTTTGTGAAATATTCGGAACATGACCGAGGCTGTCCAGTCACTTCACAATGTCTTTCAAAATGGATAGTAAATACAATTGTCCTGTCTTATCAGTTAGCTAAGTTGGACTTGCCATCTACTCCAAGAGGTCATTCTACAAGAGCTGTTGCTGCTTCTTCGGCCTTTGCATCAGGGGTCCCGATAGAAGATGTGTGCAGGGAGGCCATTTGGGCTACCCCATGTACCTTTGCCAGCCATTATAGACTCGATGTCCGTGCCAGGCAGGATTGCTCTTTTGGCAGAGCTGTCCTTTCTTCTGTCCTTCGCTGATGACACCTCCCTCCTCCACTTGGGGTAAGCTTGTTATTCTACCCATATGTGTGATGCACAGAGGCCACGACGAAGAAGAGCAGGTTGCTTACCTGTAACTGATGTTCTTCGAGTGGCCATCTGTGCAGTCACACAACCCACCCTCCAACTCCGCTTGGTGTCATGGGTGGTCCGACTATTTCTTTCGATACTTTGATCTCTTTGCTATGTGTCGTACCACTACTGAATTTGGCTATCTTGTCATACTGACAAACCTTATTATAAGAACAAACGTCGGTCTTTCAAAGACTGGAAAATGGCAGACACTCCGCTCCTTATATAATGCTAGGGGGGAGGGGGAGCAGAGTTCCCGCCAAAAACCGTTAGCTGTTAATCTTCCGGCCAAGGGCACTGCGCAGGCGCAGAACCCATGTGTGACTGCACAGATGGCCACTCGAAGAACATCAGTTACAGATAAGCAACCTGCTCTTGTCCCAATCTTCAAAAAGGGAAGAGAAGAGTAATGTGGTAACTACTGACTCTGGGAAATTTCCAGAGCAGTTTATAAAGCAGTCAATCTGGAAACACCTTGAAAACAATGCAGTGCCAACATGGATTTGTCAAGAACAAATTCTGCCTAATAAACTTTATTCCCCAAGCTTGGGTGTGCCATGTGCTGAATCCAGTGACTGGTTCCAGATTGAGGGACTGAAGGGATTTCTGGGCAGGATTTTACCCAGTTGGCCAGGGGAATGGGGATTCTCTGATAGCTTTCTGTTATAGCATCACTTCCAAATGACATGAAGTGCTAGATCCCCTCTGGTCAGCACTGGTTAAGGCTCATCTTAAGTCCTGCATCCACTTCTTGGGGACCTCACTTTAAGAAATCTGCAAACAATCTAAAAAGGGTTCAAAGTGCAGCAACAAGGATGATAAGGGGACTGGAAGAAAACCCTGTGAGGAGAGATTGAAAGAAATGGGCACATTAGGTCTTGGGAAGGGATGACTGAAGGGTGATAAACTATGGAAGAATAAGCTTAAGTTAAAGGAGGCCAGAGTCCTGCTGAGCATCAGGAAAAAATTCCTCACTGTTAGAACAATACAACAACAGAACCAATGACCTAGGGAGGTTGTGGGCTCATCCACACTGGAATTATTCAAAATGTGATGGCCATATTAGACCCCTTTAATTTTATGAAAATGCTGCACAGGAGTTTTCATTAATACCATGTCTGCCATGTGGCTTGACCCACACTCACAGGGCTCTTAGCAGATATATATGTGTATATATCTATAAATCTTTGGGCAACTTTTTGCACCTCAAACAATCTCCAAAACATGGGAATGGATTGCAGAAGCTTTTGAGTACATCTAAAGAAATCCTTTTGCACTTCAAATAAATAATCTCCAAAACATGGGAATGGACTGCAGAAACTTTTGAACACATCTAAAGAAATCCTTTAGCTCAGGCTGTTGAAGTGCATTTGTATGCTGGTAAAATGCATACTATACAATATAAAAAACAGCAACAGAGACAAGAACACCAAGTTAGTGATGCCACTGAAGGGTGTGTGTGTCTGTGTGCAATTGTGGATGTCATCCAAAAGACAGCATTTAGTTCACATAAAGTTTTATTTTTTAGCCTTGATAAAATTAGGTACAATTTTTTTAGCTATTCATTTATCTTTGGGTGCATTGTGTTCTTCATAGTTATTTGAAGGACAATAGAATTAATAAGAGCACCTATTAAATTCCCACTTGATTTTATCCTACACTTCATTTTGGCTCACCTGTTATTTATGCATGTATTTATTTCTATAACACTTAGTATTTAAAAAAAAACTCTGAGGTGTTACACTTTCAATGATGTTTGCTTTGTATAATTAGTGATCAGAATTATTGTTTTAAATCTAGCCTGAGGTTCTTTAAATCTAGCCTGAGGGTCTTTAAATCTGATCTGAAGCCCTTTATAAAGTTAAAAGTATAGAACTAGATTGTATGAATTATTGAATGTTCTTTTTAAGAACTACTTTTAGTGGATGTTATTGAAATTAGAAATAAAACACATATGGTGGTATCCAAATTGGTCACTCAGCTAGTGCAAATGGTACTGTGCAGAAAGGTGGAAACCTTTCTTCTTCTACTGTTGTCAGTGTTTAGGTTTCCAAAGTGATGTGCTAAAGCAACAAGAAAAGGAAGCACAGCTCTACTGATACAGTGATTTCTTTCACTAAAAGTGTCATGGATTTTGGCCATAGGGTACAACTCTGCCTAGATCTCTCTAAGTTACATGGATTTCAGTGGAAAAGCTAAGCACTTGCTTGGATCTCTCCCACTGAAATCAGTGGGGCTTAAAAGTGTTTAACTTTGGTTGCCATGTGCCCAATATGCCACCTACCAAAATATATTGGAAGTTTAAAAAAAAAATTCACTAGTTGGTTTGTTTGACATTGTCAAAAAACTAGAAAAGAAGAAATAATTGAGACAAACATTTAATCAGCAGAAATTGTCTCAAATTTTTGCATATTAGAAATCACGTACAGTTATTTTTTCTCATAGTGCTATATGATAAATGTCTTGCTATACTTTATGGCCTGTATGAAAAGGTAAACAATGTGATGGTTTTAAAAGTAGCTGCAAAATAAAGATTGGCCTCATTCCCACAGCCATGTCTTTGTTACTGTTTCTTCATCAGCTGCCCTACAGCAGTTTCCATTGGGAATTGCTGGTGAGTTAGACATTATCACTAATTTAATATGCTGGGTCTAAGCATGGAGCTGGCTTGCAAGAGATCACATTTTGTAACCAGAGGCTATTATCAGTTTTTTAAAATGAGAGGGTTGCATACATTATAAAAAGATAATCCTGGATTTGACTATCATATCCTTTAGTGAGAGGGAACAGTTGATGTGAATGTTCAGGTGAATCTGCTCTATTTGTTGATGTCACTAGAGAAACGTGTGTGTGTTTAATGGTGTGCATCAGAACTCATGTGCACAAAAGAAATGGTTAAAATGTCCTTTAGGATATACTTCTATCTATACCTATAACTTGTTATTTCTTGGAGAGGAATTCCAACCAGAGACCCTAGCAGGCTCTAACCCCCTTTCCTGATGTGAATAACTCTCTTAACTGGGTGTTAAACTGTGATTTATCATAAGCAGATCCTGTATAACTGGGTGATAGGCAGGGGATGAGAAACATCTATTTCTGGCGGAAGTATTCCTTCCATGTCTGCCACTGTTTATTAAATACCCACCCTTATGTGACATTTGCAGTGCTCAGGGCAACTTAGAATACCTCACTCCCAATAATGAACAAATTCTTCCATTTTGCTAACACTCTTCCTTGAAGCCCCAGGAAACATTCTTGATTGGGGGGAAGCTGTTAGGATTAATGCCAAAAAAGTTATCCTTAGACATTGGAAGGGAACAGTCTTACTTGCAATTTTTATTGAATATGTTTTTTACTATGTGGCATATTATCTCAGTCATGCTGGCAACTTAACATAGAGAGTTGTTTAAGAGTGAAGTTCTGCAGGAAGTGGTACAGGCTTCTTTGGTTGCAGCAGTCCCATTTTGAAAATAGCACCACAGATGATACTAGCAGAATTTAGTTCCAGTTTTAACTAAGGACTGGTGTATTGTGCAGTGTTCCTGCAGATGCTTTGTGAGGCTGAAAGCAAAACATGTTCCACCATCTCTGGTCCTAAATAGCTGCTATTATTTATCCTGGATAGCTTGAGTAATAGACCAAGTAATAGCCTTGGTCATAGGCACACTGCTCTCCCCTTTTTGGAGCTGAGTTTGGAGCCACAAGATTTACCTATGCACACAGAAGAATAAGATTCTTCTTGCAATAGGAGAAGGAATCGTCATGGCAAACCACCCAGCTGAGGATGTTTCAAGCAGCCTCCTGATAAATAGAGCCCAATCATGTTATGGTGCTTATTTCTAAGTAGCATGTTTAGATTGACTGTAGATATATAGAAATATTAAGGCTGGAGTGCTTTTCTTACTTCTGCTGATTTGACAAACAACATTTCTTATCTTCAATACAGCAACAGCCAAATTCATCTTTGGTATAATCATCCTTTCTTCTGACAGCATATTCTCATTATAGTGAGATAGCTATTCTTTAAGACATAAAAAAAATGTAAAAGGCTTGTTAATGGGGAAATGTTTTCCTTTTCCTTTTCTATCTTTCCCAATCCAATTGCCTTGTACAAGCTTACTTTATGACATCTACTCTACTGCGTGGCCTTTAAAATACAAAACAGAGCTGAAATTTGACTAGCACTGGTAGCACTATCCTGATGTTGTACACCCCTGCTTGACTGAGAGTCTCTGCAACTTCTTCTCTAACCATTCTCCTGTCTCTGTTTATTCCATGCTAAGCAGATGGCCCAGAAATTAGCCAAAAGCAGAAAGAAGGTGCAGTACAACCTCATCAGCTTGATGTTTTGCCTGTTTTTGTTCTTTTAATTTTCACAATTATAAAAAATATATCCAGTAAGATTTTTTTCAGATTTGTTTGAACAACCGTATGCTGACATTTCTCAGATAACCAGTTGCCTGGTTTGCTCTTCTCTGTTGCTTGCCATTAGCCATTTCATGTAGATGGATACTAGGGTAATAAAAATAGAAACAACAGGATATTCCTAGAAGTATCTTCCAATATAGAGCTGACTGAGAAAGGCTGTAATTATATTAAATGGTATCCTTTAAAAATGTGTTTTCTTTCAGGTTATATTGAACATTTTGAATTAATTCAAGTTGAATTATGCATATATAAAATTGCTCGATGTAAAAAAGAAACATTTACTTGTATACACAAAATTGCATCCTGAGATTATGAAACACAAATCATTCTGGGATCTTCATGGAATTTTGATGCCTTTTAAAAAACTACAAATTTTTATAGTAAAGAATTGTGCTCTTAAATTTTCAACCTTTGGTTAATATTACAATCATAGTAGCCCTTGAACCAGAACTACATTGTAAATTCTTAAATCTCTCCTGAATCCATTTATTTTTGGTAGTTATTTGTGAAAAGTTGTATACTGCTTTTGCTGTTTTTGTGACTTGAACTGGACCTTACAGCTAAAATTTGACCTTAACTTTCTCATACCAAAATAAATAAAGGAGAGTCTTTCAACTGACACTTTGAAATGGAGGCTTTAGATTATCATCAAATAAAATAATGAGAACTGTGAACATTCTTCTCCCTGGTATGAAAGGGAAATGAATGACAGGTACGTGTGCATTATTAGCCTGCCTTCCTCTGTTTGCACAGGGTAGCAAGGACAGAATGATACTGCAGGTTCATGTGTACCCAAAGCTCTCCTTGAAGGCCCTTCAGCCTTCTCAGCCCTTCTTCAGCCTTCCCTAGCCTGGTCTCCTTTATGTGTTGGATTATGACTCTCAGCATGTCCCAGCCTCCCTGTGGGGAATGCTGGGAATTGTAGTCCACAATATCTGTAGGGCACCAGATTGGGAAAGTATGTCCTAACATAAAGAGGGTTATACTTATCTGGCTTGAGTCTTTCAACAAGAATGAGAAGGAAAAGTATGAGCTTTGCTTCCTAGCTTCCCTTTCATACTGGGGAGAAAAGGGGTTTGCATGAAGATGGATAATAGGCAAGTGGTCTGGAGAAGACTAACAATTTTGTGCACAGTGTTGAGTGCTAACTCATATTTCATACCTGTATATAATTTCCATACCTTTATGCTTATTATTAGCTTTTGCCATCTAATACTGAATTTTGTGTTGCTTTCCTGGTGACCATGTCTTAATGCTCTTTTGTTTTGTGACCTAACATTCTCTGTTTAAGCTAAGGCTACTCCACAAAGTTTGCTTGCTTGCTTTTTTTGTTAATTTAAGCTAACTTCATTTGCAGGCCCCTGAAGGTGAATCACAGCCCATGACAGAAGTTGACCTCTTCATCTCAACACAGAGAATAAAAGTACTGAATGCCGATACTCAGGTACAGCAAATCCTGACCGCTGTGCAATATAGTTACATCATTGTTCCATCCCATGTGTGTAGTTCTGTTCATATTTTAGATTATTCATATAGGAACATATTTTAGATTATTCATATAGGGTAAAATGAGGCAGATGCTTTATTTTCCTTTGCTATCTTCTTCTTGTTTGTATCACAAAGCTGATTTCTGACTTTCTAGTATGATATGTTTTTGCAATTGCAGTTGCTTACTGTTGGAAAGGTCAAGAATGGAAGTTATTCTAAGAAAGTTCAATTTAAGGAGAATTAGAATGCTTGCTTTTTAAATGTTTTAAATTACACTACTTTTGTTTTAAATAAGCCTGGTTATCTAATAGAGTTACAGGTATAGCTCAAATGTACTAAATGGCCCTGGCTTAAAATAAGTCAAGTTGCTTATGCATTCTGCAGAGAAGCCCAAAGATTCTGACCTCATACTGCCAGAATCCAAGATCTGGCAGGTGGGAACTTCTACTCTTCTTTGCTTTTATAGGAGGTGATGAAAATTCCCTTTAATTTGGAAAACGTAAGTGAGAGTATTGAATATGCCAGTGTTCTTCAATTGTTGTGTGTTAGCAATCAAGAACACTAACATAAGGCTCTGTCTTCTCTAGGAAACTATGATGGATCATCCTCTGAGGACCATTTCCTACATTGCAGATATTGGGAATATAGTCGTATTGATGGCTCGCAGGCGAATGCCAAGATCTAATTCCCAAGATAATGTGGAAGCATCTCATCCCTCTCAGGATGGGAAGAGGCAGTACAAAATGATCTGCCATGTCTTTGAATCTGAGGATGTAAGGAACTTTGATGTTTTTGTATTAAAAATAAGCATACACTTGTCCCACTGTCTTTCATATTGGGCATTTAATGCAGGCACTATAGTATGAAATATAAACACAGGGGTGAGCTTCTCTACTGGTCCTCATGCAAGCGAATGCAAGACTTTAGTCTTTTGCTGATTTTGCCTGACCTGCCACTGCTTGTGATAGGTGTTACTTCAAAACTGAGATTACCTCAGTGGAGGACTCCGTGTTGGGGGGAAGGGGGACTTCTTGTTGGGGGGAACATGAGGATGAGAATGTTTCCTATCATCTGATGCCACTCTAGGAGTTGCTGAGTAGATGAAAGAGATTATATACAGAGAGGACCCAGCAGGAGCATATTCTGAAAACAGGCCCAAAACCAGACACAAGCCTTCTGTCTTCATAGCACTCAGCAGGGGGTGCTGGCTGCAAGATAACTATAAACTGTCTTGAGGAGACCAAGGAGGAAGAAGTTACACAGGAGCCAAATCAACCCCTTGGAAACTATCTTTTTGTTTTAAAAGCACTCCTGGTTTTGTGAAGCTGTTTCATCCCAGGTGAAAGAGATTGGGTGACACTCTTGTGAGATTACAAGAAAGCCCCATGGATGTAGTTTACAGGTTCTGTGTCATGGTTTCCTAAACGTCTGTGATTCCCCCAAATAGACCCTCAGCATGCTGGGAACAAGCAGGGTTACAGAGGCTGATAATCTGAGGCTATTGCCAGCTTCCCAGGTTGGGCTCTGCTGTTATGGTCCTTAGTAGAATTCAGCCTGAAAATAGTCAGTGTTATGTACTTGCATGACTGACACTGTTTGGTGGCAGTCCTTCCATCCACAGGTAGTGAGCACTTTTCAAATTCTTCTGGCTTCCATTTGATAGAGGGGACTAATTTTTTATTCTTGTTTTTATTCCTGTTTCTTCTTTCCTCTGGTGATGGCTACAGGCACAGCTAATTGCACAGTCCATAGGTCAGGCCTTTAGTGTGGCCTACCAGGAATTTCTGAGGGCCAATGGAATAAATCCAGAAGACCTGAGCCAGAAGGAATACAGTGACCTGCTCAACACCCAGGACATGTACAATGATGACCTGATCCACTTTTCTAAGTCTGAAAACTGCAAAGATGTATGTCCCCATTTTAGTCATAATACCATTGAGCTAATAATCTCCCTGAGAAATCTAGGCTAGTAACAATTATCCAGCCATTAGAGCTCCTCATAGGTAGCTTCAATCCATACAGGACTGGATGCAATTTACTCTGTAGGACCTACACTAGAAGGGATACCAACAAAAAATACTTCCTCTTCCCTCACACCCTCCTTTTTAATTTTCAGAAAGCGGGAACAGATAGTGCTAAAATTATCCTCACTAGATTGATTACCATATGCTATGCACTCATGTTTAAGAAACAGCTTTCAAATATTTGGCATGCTGTGCATCAGTTCAGTGTGATTGAAAAGAAAATAAACTGTTTGCATTTGGCAGTTTTCAGTTCTGTAGATGTTACGGAATTTGCAAGAGAGCTTGTTATTTTTAAAAAAAATGCTGTCTGTTTGAAGCTAGTTTGGTAGATAAAATGTTAAAATCTACAATAAAAGAAGAGCCTTGGAAGCTGTAGTTTGAAAGCATTAGGTCCATTGTAATAATCTTACTGTGTTTAATTATTATTAAAGTAAATCTTTTAAGCAACTTCAATGATTTAGTTGCAGGAAAGATGGAGAAATGGAAATGTTTTCTCTGTTTCATAGATGAGAATGACCACTGTAGGTTCTGATTTTTGTTCTTCCCATTTAGGTTTTCATTGAAAAGCAGAAGGGAGAAATTCTGGGCGTAGTGATTGTAGAGTCTGGATGGGGATCCATCTTGCCCACAGTTATCATTGCCAATATGATGCATGGAGGACCAGCTGAGAAGTCTGGGAAGCTGAATATAGGGGACCAGATCATGTCAATCAATGGGACTAGCTTGGTTGGCCTCCCACTCTCTACATGCCAGAGTATCATAAAGGTACCAAAAATATGCTTCATTTAAAATAGGGCCTTGACCATGTGTGCTCCTATGGAGAGGGTGATCAAGCCTGTTGACTCTTTAGCAGCCTAAATAAATGGTGCATGAGCATGAAGCAGGTTTACAATTAGGATCATGTATTTCTCATTTCTCCTCATGGAAACAGGCCACTTGCTTTCAATTAAGAGCACACCCCTCTGGACCGTAGTCCATGTTGTGGCTATTCTGTTGTCACCCTGCTTGGGAGTCTTCATTTTTATTGTAATTAACTATCCCACCACGTTTTTTAATTGCTAATGATCTTTTACACTGTCTTTCTTTGTGGAAGAATTGTAGCATTACCATGCCCCAGATGCCCTTCCCAAATGAACATGTTATTTATTTAGAAAATTTATTTATTTATTTATTTAGAAAATTTCTAGGCCGCCCCATTTGCCGAAGCCTCAGGGTGGCTTACAAATAAATAAATTAAAATACATAAATTAACAATATAAAACACATATAACAGTATAAAATAAGTCGCCCTGGCCAAAGAATAAAAATAAATACCATTAACAATTAAAATGACGCTTGAATAAAAAGGTCTTCGCCTGGCGCTGAAAAACAAATAATGATGGCACCAGGCGGACCTCTCTGGGGAGCGCATTCCATAGATTGGGCGCCACCGCAGAGAAATGTTAACTAAGTTGCCTTCTTTTTTTATTTTTCATGCTGCTATTATATTGCTTTAGAGACCACATATTCCCCATCCATGTCTCCTATATGATGTCCTGCTTGTAGTACAGAACCTTTCCCTTATTACGGGGACTGCTTGTACTTCCTACACTAAATTACCCCCACATATTGGCACCTGAAAATGCAAACTTAGCCAAATGCAAGTGTACCTACTTCTAAACTCTATACTGAGGGTGTGGATGGAATCAAGCAAACAAGCTAAAGACTTGGTTATCTTGTTGCGGTGGCTGCTAAAGAACACTGAATATTAACAACAGGTCTGCTGTTTTAATATGATATAACAGTACATCATTGCTGTGGAATACTTCTCAGGAAGAGCAGATCTAGCTTTCATCTGTTGCCATTTTGCAATTAAACTATATATTTTCAGTTGTACATTTTCATACCAATGTACAGTCACGATAGCAAGAGCACAGGCTGCAGTCCTGAAGCCACTGGCAACATCTCAGTCCCCATGAATGCCAGTGGAATTCACAAACTCTACAGTGGGTTCACAGTGTATCCCACACTGTCACAGGTATGATAGTTTGGAGTGGGGCATAGAAGCTCTGGCCTGGTGCCCCAGGCTAGCCTTCCAGGGGTCCCACTGCAGCCTTCCAGGTTTTACCACAGCTGAACTAGTAGCAGTAAGTGCTTTAAGGGGTATTTTGGCGGTATTTTGGCCCCACCTTTTGGGGCTTTACTGAAATGCATCTCTTTGACAGCTTCTCTGCAGTGGAATTCTTTATATTTGTTTTGGAGCATGAGTTGAAGATCCATAGCTGTGTACTGAAGGATATCGTACCAAAGGATATTGTTTACATAGGTATTTGTTGTTTGTATGCATCCATAGTCAAATGGAGTTGGAAAATTCTCCCATGTTCAAGAGAGCCTTCCTTGTTTGTTGAGCTGAGTGTTGCGTTCACTTTTTGTTTTATTGCCCAGGTATTTCCATGCTCACTAGATCTCCTTTCTAGGCTATACAGATCACTTTCTTTTTCTTGTGTTGTCCATTAATAGTTTAATTGCACATGTCAGGTCTTTAGACCTGCCCCTTTGCCATCCCCTCCCCTTGCATAGAACAGAAGGGGTCATCAGGCCCTGCAAAATGGCATAGGTTGGTCAAGAGTTGAACCACCTTGACTTGACATTACTGATTTGTTCAGGTAAATAGTTTTACCTTTGCATTTTTAAATGTCTACTCTGCTGAATAGATAGCCTTCTCCGACCCACTGCCCTCCAGATATGTTGGACTACAACTCTTAGCATCCCCAGCCAATAAATCTGGGGAACACCAGGTTGGGGAAGGCTGGAGTAGATGGTAAGTATTTTATCTATTTATTACATTTTTATACTGCCCAGTAATAAAAACATTCTGGGCAGTTCATAGCCATTAAACCCATAAAATGCAATGAAATACACTATAAAAGGTAGAAGTTTAAAACCACAGTGTAAAATAATAATAAAAACAAAGTAAAATCTAGCAGCAATGCTAAGATTTGAAGTACAGTCACAGATTTAAAATAACAGAAACTGAAAGGCTAAAATGTCTGGGAAAATAGGGAAGTCTTCACCTGTCACTGAAAAGAGCACAAAGTTGGCACCAGGCAAGTCTTTCTGGAATGCTCATTCCACAGTCAGGGTGTTAGGCTAAAAATGGTCTTCTTCTTAGCAACCACCCCCCTTATTTCCTTTGCCAGGAAGGAGCCCCTAGAAAAGGATCATTGTAAGTGACCTGAGGTTCCAGGCACGTATATATGAAGATCCTTCAGGTAAACTGCTCCAAGGCTGTGTAGGGCTTTGAACACTTTGAATTGGGCCTAGTGCATTGACTGGCAGCTAGTGCGGGTGGTAAAGTACAATTTATGATGTATTCAAAAAGGGAAAAGATGAATACTCCAGGGGTGCTGTGCATTGCATTCATTAGAAAATGAACAAAAAGAAAACTTGACATGCCTGAAGTATGCTCTTTTCTTCTAGAGTAATAAAATCCACGAATAGAGGATATCACAGTGTGTTCTCTTGTAGAGTCAAATACTAACCTACAATTAGTATATTGCTTTATGGTTGATTTCTGACTAGAGAAATGAGCAGGTGCTGTAGTTCAATGTTAGAGTAGATACTCTGGACAGTTCTTAGAACACATCTGAATAATCATAGAATAGTACAGTTGGAAGGGGCCATGAAGACCTTTGGATTGAACCCCCTGCTGTGGCAAGACACCAACTTACACCGTCCCACTCAGATGGCTGTCCAGTTTCGTTTTAATGTCTCTAGTGTGGGAGCGGCCACCAATTCACTTGACAGCCGGTTTCACTGTTGTATTGCTCTGACTGTGAGGAAACTTTTCCTGATGTCCAGCCTGAATCTGGGTTGTCGCAACTTGAATTGGTTATTCTGTGCCCTACACTCTGGCATCAGCAAGAAGAGATCTTGACCTTCCTCTTTGTAACAGCCCCTGAGGTACTTATAGAGGGGTGAGAAGAAGCTGTCAATCGTATTGACTCTTAGTCACTTTCAACTATCTTCTTCTGGGGCAAGCTGCTTGAGGGTATAGTGATATGTTGACTCCCAGTAGAGGACACCGTTTCAGTTTGGTTTCAAGTGTCTGCTTGTAATACTAAAAGGGTCTTGATGGTTGACCTGTGCTGGAGAAAGACAAGGTGATATCAATCATGGCATCTTTCTGGATTACCTGTCTGGATTGAGATTTGATGCACTTGGACCTTTACCATGACAGATGACCTTGACAGAGTGCACATTCTTTTGTGTCTGTCAAAAGGTAGGTTATTGTAATTCATTATACATGGGTCTGTCTTTGAAAAGTCTTTGGAAGCTTCAGGAAGTCCAGGATATGGGAGCAAATTTGTTACTAAGAACCTGCTGAAATATTCATGTTCACTGCTAAAATAACTGATACAATTTAGAATGATGTTTTTGACATACAAAGCCTGGCTAGGGACCAGTATTACTGAAGTATTGTCTTCACCTGTCTGTTTGCTAATGTAATCAGCAGAGGCTCTGTTCCATGTGCATTTGCCTTCAGATGCTAGGAAAATGGGTCTAGATCTAGAGTCGCCTTGGTGGTGGCACCCCATCTTTGGAATGCTTTCTCCAATGATGTTCAGGTGCCATCATTTTAACCATCAGGCATCTACTAAAAATACTAGGCTCCGTCTTTTCTTGAGCACTTAATTATTTAACCTATTTATTTATTTTCATTTATTTTACTCATCTGTTCAATTTTTAAACTGCCAAATAAACATGTACTGTTTAAAATATAAGATACAAAATGAAACAGTGACATAAATCAGATAAAAAGAAGATAAAACCAGTATCAGTACATGCTAACTGAACAGAAGAACTAACAGCAAGGATAAACATTACTGAGTTCTAAAGCTTTAAAACAGTTCCTAAAATCTAATTGAAAAAACTTCTTTACCTGGTGCCAAAAATGCTACAGTGTAGGTTCCAGGTAAGCCTCTCTAGGCAGGGGAGGATTCCACAGTTAAGGGATTTCACCACTGAAAGAGGCCCTCCTGTTTGTAGTCACTCACCCTGCCTCCTTTGGCAGGGGCACCTGGAAAAGAGCTCCTCAGATGATGACTTTGTGATTTGGTTAAGTAAATATGGGAAAGGTAGGCAATGTCCTAACTGAACCCAAGCAGTTCAAGGTTTTGAAAGTAAAAACTGTTTGTATGTTTTATGATATGGAGATTTTTTACTTTTATGACACTGATGGATTTTTCCATTATTAATACAAGCTTCTCTGAGTGTTTATGTGGAAAGGCAGAGTATAAATTATTAAGTCAATACATAACATCTAATAGGTAGTTCTCTGAATAAAAATGCAAACTACTTTGGCTATTGTCATTCACATGGCTGAAAAGATGACATGATTCTACAAATCTGCCTAATATAAGTTTGGAAAAGGCAACATGTTATACAAACTTCTTCTGAACTATATATCCCCACAGGATTACAAAACTGAGTATATAATATGAAGAAGTGCACTTGCTAGAATCATAACTGTTCTTTGTGGAATATGTACATATTGACATGGCATCTTCACATTTTCCTTACTGGGAAGGGTACTGAGCAGATGTAACATGAACAGATGATCTTTGATAGTGCAGAAGGTAGTGTATATGAAGCCCAATCACCCCAAGGTGGAAGCTCTGAGAAAAATGAAAGTGACTGATGGCCTTTAATGCCAGATGGCTTCTGAATGGCTGCTCCTTGTTTAGGAGCTTTTCATTTCCCATCCACATGCTTGCTTCCTTGCTTGATTAACAAACAAGCTGAACACAGTAGTATAGATGGAGATTAGAGGGGGTGGGAGAGAGAGAGGGAGGAGTGAGCACTCTGGCATTTGGAGCTCTCTGGGGGTTCATATCACATATAACCCTTGTGAATATTGATATAGGGAAGGGCACTGGCAGGAAGAAAATAGACCTAAAAGAGAAAGGTTAAATGCATGAATATGGTTGATGGTGTATGTAGTTGCTTCAGGCATATGTCATTTTCCTGCCTTGGCAAAAAGGTCATGATAAGAAATTGCATGTGTAATATTAAGCACAGAAATACTCTATTATGTTGTGCTAAAAAGGTTATCAACTGCTGTATCAGTGGATTAAGTGAGGAGTAGTTAACAAAAACAGAATAGCCTGAATTGTGTGAAAGGGAGGTGGTCAGAGGGGTATTAAGGTCTCTTCTGTTCCCCTGGCATTAACACTTTTTTCCCTTTTCACTTGCTACAAGAATAATTTGATTTCATTTCATTTCATTTCTGTACCATCCAATTTATGGGGTTTTACAGCAGTACTTAAACAATGCAGTAAAAATAATGCAGTAGTATTCCTTTGACTTTCCCAAAAGGTTTGCTCATAAAGCCTTTGAAGAAGGGGGATCCAGTTCATTCATTGGGGCCATATTGGTATGTTTGTGAGTATGTTAAACCTAACCACCTTCACTTCCACGCTGTGACTCCAGCATGTCCCTCAGTTCCTGACTTGCATCCTTGCACCTTTGAGACTAATTGGTGTGCATGGCACTGCTTTTGAAGACTGCTTAGAAGGTGTACTTGAGTAATCTTCACAGAGACAGGCCACCAGGAGCCTCAGGGTTTTACGTAGCCCTGAAAAGGCAATTCAGGTAGCTGATTTATAAAAGACTCATATAGTAGAAGCATGACATAATTTAAAAATGTCACCTTTCCTATTACTTGTGACCATTAAGATCAAACAAAATCTTCTTTAAAAAAAACCCCCTATAAAGCAATTTCCCCACAAGTGTTTATCTCCTTAGGGAGTAGGAGGCAAACATTTTGAAAAAACATAGTAAGTGCTAGGCTGTTCCTATTATCTTTAGTCCTGTTATCTGCAATCCACACATTCATACTCTGCCAAATCTATGAAAGTAGCAAAATTCAGGTGGGAAGATTTTGAATCAGTAGTATGAATTGTACCCGGTCAACATGCTTCTAAGACAACAGCACTAGCACATCTGAGACAAAGGTTATAGTCAAGATGGCTTCCTGCTTTTCTACTTGCAAGAATGAAATATTTCTATTATTTTTAGATTAATTATCACACAGTAGAGCATTCAGGAATGCAGTTGCTCACTTGCAGTTGGGAGATTCATTTCCATCTAATTCTGCAGCAGTGGAATGATATCAGTGTTCACCACCACCACTAAACATGTGCAAACACATTCTTCCAGTGCATCTGCATAAATAATTCTAAATGGTATTAGTAATGGCTACCAGTGAGTGGTTACTGTTCTACATTATTTAATCCAGATTAAATAATAAGAGTTATCATCTGCACTTTTAAGATCCCTGTTCTAATCACTGCAAGTGAAGTGGCTCAAGACAAACTCCTTGGAGAAGCGAGGTGTACCACTTGTGTGCTTGCTCCTTGCTCTTCCTGGCTTATAAAAGGAGTCAGGGATGGGGAATGCCTGAGTGGCTAAGGGCAGTGATGAATGCCTCTTTATGGTGAGGTGTGATTCCATCTTGCCTTGAGGGAGGCTAGAGCCTTTGTGGGGTGTTTATTTTTTTTAAGCAAAAACAACACTCACTGTATTGGATGTATTGTGTCGTTAATATTGTATTCTTGGGCAAGATGCTGGAGTATGTCATAGTTTCGCAGAGCCAAGGATGTTGGGATGATGCAGTTTATCTGGATCCATTTAAGTCTGGCTTCAGGTCTGGTTATGAGACAGAGAGTGCTTTGGGCACTGGTAAATGATTGACACTGGGAACTGTATAGGAGCGTGTCCCATAGATATGTTGGACTTGGCTTTTGATAACATTGGTCATAGTATCCATCTTTCTGAGACAGGACTGGGAATTGTTATATGGTGACTCCAGTCCGCCTTGGAGGTTGATCCCAGAAGGTGATGCTGAGAGATTCCTTTCATGTTGTGGCTACTGGCCCGTGGTGTCCCTCAGGATTCCAACTGGTGTCCCCCATGCTATTTAACATAAACATAAAACTGCTGGAAGAGCTTGCCACCACTGTGCTTAATGGCACCCAGTTCTTTCTCTCCTTTAATTCCATATCTAAGAAAAAAGTTTTAGTTCTAAAAACTTGACTGATATCAGTAAGAAACTGGATGATGGCAAAAAACAAACAAACCAAACCTAGACAAGACAGAAATACTCCTGGTTAGACAAAGCCAAATCAGGGCACAGGGAGTCGAGATGTGCTGTACGAGATGTGCATGTTACATCCCTGCAAAGACTCAGGCTCACAATTTGGGTGGACTCCTGGACTTGGCCATGGACAGGGATGCCCAGGTCTTGGTGATGGTCAAAAATGTGTTATACAGCTGAAGCCAGTATGCCAGCTCTTTCTAGAGATGTTTGATTCAGCCATAACTGCACGTACCTTGATTAGATCCTGTTTGGACCACTATAGTGCACTCTGCAGGGGTTGCCTAATTCATCTGGTCCAGAATGATGCAGGACTGTTGAATAGGGCTGGATGCAGGGAACACGTTTCCCATGTTACAGCAGCTTCACTACTTACTGGTCTGTTTCTAGGTGAAATGTGCTGGTGATGACCAGTAAAACCCCATATATCTTGGAACCAGGTTAATGGAGATCAGTTTCTCCCACATGTACCTGCCTGGTTATTAAGATCTTTGGCCCAGTACCTTCTTTTGAGACCACTGTTTGCAGAAGCACATTTGATAGCAATGTGAAAGAAGGCCTTCTTTGTGCCCAGTGGCTGGATGCCTACTGCAGAAGGCTGGACTTGCTCCCTTTCTGCTGTCCTTCTGCCAGCAGACAAATGCCACTTCAGTCAAATGCACCATTGTTTGTAAGTGTGTTGATTTGCCTGCTATTTTTACTGCATTTTGTTTTTAATTGTGTCTTAATGTATTTGCTTACAATTGTTTTTATCAATTTGTCTTAATGCTTGTAAGCCTGCTTGAGTGCCATTTTTGGTAGAAAGTTGAGGTATAAATAAATCAGAACAAATTAAGCAAAATACTACCAAAGTGCATATCACACTGAACTGCTAAAGTGCAATATGTCCCAGCAGAGATGTTCCAAGAATGGTATAAAATTCTGTCTGTCATATTGTTTTTAAGGGTTTGAAAAACCAGGCCAGGGTTAAGCTGAATATAGTGAGATGTCCTCCTGTAACTACTGTCCTCATCAGAAGACCAGACCTCAGATATCAGCTAGGCTTCAGTGTACAGAATGGCATCGTAAGTAGCACTTGGCATCCTTAATTTATTATTCTACCTCCTGTACAGAAAAAGACAAAACAAGGAGCAGTTAATTTCAAAACATTTAGCTTTTATTGTACACATGTATAGGATCACAGTCTGCAACATCATCTAGCACTACATGCTAGATTAACATGAAGGTTAATCGAGTGAGTGAATGAGTGAGTGAGTGAATGAATGACATTTGAGAATTAAACAGTGGGCACATATGGTGAGATATTAGTTGCATTGCTTGAGGCCCTTGGGGAAATGCAACACAAGGGGATTATATCAAGTGCTGTGAGTGTGTTTGAGATGGTGGGTGCAGGGGAATAACATTCCAGTGCTTCATTTGTAAAATGAGAAGTACTGGGGCTGAAATCTGCTTTGTTCTTGAAGTGTGGGCCATGGATATAACTATTCAGTAGTAAGGAAATGTAATCTGAGGATGCCAAGCTAAAGCTGCTATAGGTTTTCACTTGATGTGAATGTACCCTGTATGAGACACGCAAAGAGCATTCTTGCATTTTAACAAGTTAAATGGTATCAAACAACTTGTGCCTTGCAACACTTGAATATGCATTGCCTGAATTGCTTTTTTCAATTTCTAGTGTTTCTGGCTAACATTATGCGGCAGTAGCAGCACACCATTTAATAACATTTTCACACTTTAGAAAATGCCAACACCTCCCACTCTGTTTCTGGCATGGCTATTGATGTTTATTGATTCAAAACAACCAGGAGAAAAAGTTGATGCAGTTACATGCCTCTTTACAATTTTATTTTGTATCCACCACATTATTCAGTTCAAATAGCCATGTGCCTAAGAACTATAATATAGGTTTTATATGGCTATTTCTTTACAGCAGTAGGTTTTGTTTATAGCGAACTGTGATCCAAACATCTGCAGCCCAGTGAGTTGTTACTTTATTTCCCTACATTCACCATGACCAATGCCCCATTTTTGTGCTGGAAAAACAGCAGATCTCCTTCCATCTCCTCTAATGCAGTGTATGAAGCTGGGACTCCATGGTGGGACCTTCTTGGTCACCCCGTTCATATGATCTGCCATGCTCAATGGTAGGTAGAGCGCCTGCTTTGTGTGCAGAAGCTCCCAGAGTCAGCCACCAGCATCTCCAAGTGGGGCTAGGAAAGTATCCCACTTGAATCCCTGCTCTAGAGAGCTGGTGCCAGTCAGTGTTGACAATACTGGGCTAGGTGAACCATTGGTCTGTCTCAGGATGATGTGTATCTGCTTGTGATCTTGTTTCCACACAATGGAAGGAAAGAAATCACACAAGCAGTGCTTCTGCACTATGCCCAGCACATCAGTTACATGGTCTGTGTAGCACAGAGTAGCGGAATCTGCTGCTCTTGCTCTGGGAAGCAGAGTTTGTATTCTCAGCTGAATGTGGAAATTTCCTTCATTTAAACTATTTTGAAATGCAGACTGTGATAATCAGATGGTCCACCCAAACAAATTCCTATGTGATGTTGGAGTAATCCATTTTCCCCAACCAGGAGACCTCCAGATGTTTAGAGTACAACTTCCGTAAGCCCCACCTTGCAATCAGGTATCCATGGAGGTGTCATCTAACCCATCCATGTTGAAAGAAGCTACAGTGGTCAAAGGAGAATGATACATATGTGGACTCCTTCTGGGTCTTAACTGAAATACCTGATGTTTTGCACTTTCAGCACCTAGCTGTGCACGCTTTCATTGTCTGATGTCGTTCCAGATCTGTAGCCTTATGAGAGGAGGGATTGCAGAACGAGGAGGAGTACGAGTGGGCCACCGAATTATTGAAATAAATGGGCAAAGTGTTGTTGCAACACCTCATGAAAAGATTGTTCATATTCTCTCCAATGCTGTTGGTGAGGTAGGAGCTGGCAACTCTTATCTTGTACATATGAAGTGTTGGCTTTGTGGTGTTGTTGTCACGACCAAATGAAAAACATTAGTAGACATATAAGCCTTTGCTACCCCTAGTGGTTTTATGGGCTTTGCTGCAACTTATGAAAAGTGCCAAATGGGCATAACTCTGGCTGTGTAGATTTATCACATTTGTGTCTTGCCTTTCCTTCAGGCAGCTCAGGGCTAATTCCTACATCAAGTCATGAAGGATAAGGCTACTCAGTGTGCTTTCTCACTGAGCAAGAGTTTGAATTCAGATCTCCTTGCTTCAATATGCCACCCACTACTCCAGTTGGTGGAGTACAAGTTGGTTCCAAGTGAGCCACAGATGGATTACAGCCTGAACTATGGAGGATATTTTAACAGGGCTAATCGGGGCTTTTTCACGATGCATGTGTGTATACTGCATCAAAAAACCCTAGCATTTTGGAAATGGGTGGAAAAGTTGCAGGGTACTGAGAAGAGGCAAGACCAGCCAAAAAAGTAGAGTGTATCCCCACAAAGGGGGTTACTTATTGGCCACCCCCTTTCCCTTGATACTTTGCCTTTTGCAAGGTGGTACGCAAAAGTTAAGTGACAAATGAACCTCTTTGCAGTGGGTGCCTGCTCACCCCCCCTCCCTGGCATTGTATAGGCAAGAATGCCTCGGTTGTACCTGCAGGAGTGCTAAGGTGGACACTTGCACAAATGTAGCTAGATTTTTAAAAAATTAGATTGTCCAATTAAAAAATAGGTCACAAACCAGCTACAGCCCTTCCAATGTGCGGCTTTGGCATTTTGAAGTGGCTGCCGATTGGCTATTACTCTTCGTGATCTTCAGAAAAAAAGAGCTGTAACAAGCCAAAGGAGGCTCACCATCATGGCAGGGACACTGAGCCCCTCACCTCAAAGTGTTACTGGGGCACTTAAGGGCAGCTGGTGAAGATGCTGGCCGAGGTGTGCATTGCAAGAATACCAAGGAGGTTTTGCTGCTCATACCAAGAAACTCTCTGAGTGCTTCTCAGTATGCACAATGGCTCCATTCGGTCAGCAGGACAAGCCATCATAAGTACAAACACCTGTAGAACAAGCTATGGATTGTCAGGCTGACTTGTTGCGCACAAACAAACCACCTGCAGGAAACAGTTCACACAACACAACCCACCATGGTTTGTTACCCCTAATGATCATGCAAACCTAGCTTTTGTTCTTGTATTTATCTGGGCTGATGGGTAAATTTGATGTGCTATCCTTTCTGCAAAGTTGACTGCAGTCTCAAAGATGTATCTCTGTCTCCCCATCCATCTGTCCCCCAACACACAGCTCACCACATTCAGTAGGATCTCCAGATTCCTCATGTAATATTGCCAGGGGGAAAGAGGGCAAAACTCACTAGAGAAGATAATAAAGTCAAAGGCAGAAGACGAAAAGACCAAATATACCATAAATTGATTCCATAAAGGAAGCATCACCTTGAGTTTACAAGACTGAGCAGGGCTGTCAAGGACAGGACATTCTGGAGGATATTCATTTATAGGTTTGCCCTAAGTCAGAAATGACTTGATGACACATAGCAAGAAGTCCACTTCTAACCTTATAGGTTGATTGTAGTTTGTGTGGGGGATTAATTTCCAAATGTTTCATATTGTTAGCATTGTGCAAACACTACCTACTTTAGAATGTCTTCATTCTGGCTGCAAAGCAGGGTATGAATGGATAATACATTATTATCATGGTGACGATGCTGTTCTATTTGCAGAACGCCAGCTCAGGATCCAACTCAGGATGTACAACTCCTGTTAGTAATATATTGGGAAACACTGAGTCAGTACTTTTTTTCCTTCTTCCAGATTCATATGAAGACCATGCCAGCTGCCATGTACAGACTCTTGACTGCACAGGAACAACCAGTTTACATCTAAACCTCACCCTCCCAGTGTGCATGGAGGACATCTTTCATTAGTGGTGGTGTTTTCTTGTGCTGCATTTTGGTGTCGGCAGCAATCTCTCTTTCACTCTCTTTTCTCACCATTTATCTTTCTGCTGTGTAGAAGAGGATGGTTTTGGTTGCTCCTTTTTAGTACTAGAGTCTCATGTAATCCTTCACAGAACAAAAAAAAAAAATAACCAAGGTTTTCTTTAACACAACACACAGGCGCATGCACTTGGTAGTGATGTCATTTTTGCTTCTGTGGCCGTTAAGACAGGAAGCCCAAGTATATGGAACGAAACTAAGTTAGAATGCTCTTTTCACCAAATAGGACAAATGATAGGGTAAAAGTCTCCTCTTAAGAGTGGTAGAAAAGATGTTAACCTACTTATCCTGTACCATTGTTGTTCTGTGTATGTTAGGAGAGCAGCATTATAATTTTGCCCTAAGGAAAAAGTTATGTTTGAAGAAGAAAATTTGATACCAAGGTGTCAGGTGAGCACTACTTCCCTAATATAGATCAGCACCTTTATATTTGGAGACTGTTACTGAAAGCTAGTGAGTTATGCCATGCTGAAAATCCTCTGGCATTGCTATGGGAGATGTGCTTTCACAATTTTGCTCTTTGGGATTTAAGCCTTCCTCACTTCCTTTCCCAAAAGTCCTTTATTTTTAAGTGCAGCATGATTTTTTGCAAATAGCTTTTCTAATTCCTACTTTCTTTCTAGGGTTGAGTGATGTTAAATATCCAGCAGAAATTATGTGTGTGTGGTTGGGTGAGAATGTGGTCTGATCCTAACTTTCTAAGCTCTTTCATTTTGTGTGTGTATGTATGTGTATGTGAGCTAATAGGTTGTCACATTTTTAAACTGTATGCTTGGTATTTATTATTTTTTAACAGCTCTACATGCACTTCTTAATTGTTTTGTTCTTCTGAGCCAGTTTACTTTTTAACATATCTTTGGTCCAAAAGTTTGTATTTAGTTTTTTAAGGACGATTTCTCTTTAATTTTGGACCATAATAGAACAGTGGAAGGTATAAATTTAATTTATTTTGTAAAATATACTATATAAATATATATAAATATATGTAAAGTTAATCCCATGCATGGGATGCTAAAAGAGTATGTTCATTTCTCTAGATGCTTGTGCAATGAAAGAGTATTCCAAAAAGCTTTGGTTATGGTATTTAAAAATCAAGCAGGTCAGTGTAGATTGTGTAATATTTGTAGTAAAACTATTTGGCAAAAACACAAAAGTGTAGGTCCTGTGGCACCTTAAAACACTCATTTTTTGCATAAGGTTTTGGGGATATAGCCCATAAAAGATTCACTCACAATATACATCTTGTTCTTTAAGGTGCCCCAATATTTGTTGTTGGTTTTGCTGTGACAGACTTAACATGGTTATCCTTCTGGAATTTAATAGTTGTGTGTGGGGGCGGGGGGTAGACAAATAGGAAATATGGAATAATGAGGGATAAGCTGGCAACCCAATTTTGTGTTCAGGCCAGGGCAACACTGGTGTTCCAGGTTGAGTGTTTGCATGTTGCATGGATGTGCATTGAGCACACATCTTGCATTAGATATGTCATGGTGTCCTCCTTGGGATTCAGTGCCCTGCATGGGTGTTGTATGTAAATGCATGTGGACCCCAGCCTTCCACCACAAGCACAGAAACTCTGGGAGGGTGAGGGGGTGGTGCTGTGATAGAACCTTGGGCCACTTACAGGAGCTTGTGATACGAGCAGGTTGGCAGGTGGCATCCAGTTCCTATAGCTCTGTATGCTTCTGATCTCTATGCACTGCCAGAAGTGGCTCTGCAACATAGGAACAGTGGCATGACTGGAGTGTTAATTGGTTTTTTCATTCAAAAAGGAGTTGCACATGGCTATATTAAGTAGCTTATGCAGAGACAGATGCAATAGAAGAAAAATAAGTTGACTTCTCAGCCAGGTCAACTTATGCAACCCAGTCTCGTCCTCTTAGCTTTACGTGAGCCCATTAGAATCAATACCGTTTAAATTTCATTGCAAATTTGAGCTAAATTGGATAGTTCAATGCTGTTGCTTTCTTGAAGCTAAGTGGGCTAGACCTGTTCACCAGTATGCATGGGTGAGCAGTATGAGTAGGATTTACATCTAATTACCCCTCCCCCATTTTTAAAAGCAAAGCAAAGTATTACTTTAGCACTTGGATTCCTAGGTACTTAACATTTAACACTTGAAATAAATTATGGGTAGTGAGATGAAAGTAAGCAAAATGCCCCAAAACTCTTCCCCACAGCATCTTGGTCTAAAAATCTAGCTGAGGCCCATAGGGGCGGGGTTGAATTTTCATTTCTGAAATGGAGGACTACAGCAGTAGCAATGAGGGGGGAAACCTCTATTAAATTGGAGAAAACAGAAGTCATTCTCATATATATACCCACACAAGTAAGAATCGAATAGGCTCAGGATAACAACACTGCAAATTACTCTATTAAATAAAAGGAATCCCAAGTTTCAGAATTACCAGCTTCCAATTAATGTAATGTTAGTATTTCTGATTCATAGTAATGATTTGATCTTTGTCTAAGGCTTCCTCATATTGAGAGGAATCAGTAAAGATTGTTTTCTGTAATAAGATACTGGCTTTTAAAAAGACCGCTATTTAATACATTCACTCCCATAGTAACCAGTGTAGATAATATAATTCTACATTTCCTATGATCAGTGCCAGCTGTTACTAACTTCTTTCCATAAGAGAAATACTACAGCATCACTTTCTCCTAAGCTCTTATTCCTCTTCATTGAATGAAGAATTAGCCCCTGCTCATTTCTTTCTGTACTGAGCAGCTTTTTAGAAATTGATTGGATTTAAAAACCAGTCCTTAGAGCTTTCTTCTCAGCAGTGTTGATTCCCAAAATAGATCATCTACTAGTCCAGGTTTACCCAAGATGCTTTTCACAGATGTCAGAGAGACAGGCCAAGATACTGGGATATAATTGGGAATAGGGCAGATGGTTAAAAATAATCAAACCAATGTATGTATAAACTTGAATATGTGCTTTACTTGAATCACTATTAACATGTTTCGGATAGTTTTATGTTGAAGTAAAAATCATCCCTGTCTTAAACCTCTTCTGGCCTGTTTTTCTTGCTCTGTTGCAGCAGGTTTTCACACTGGTTGACAAAAGGGCTGGTTCACAGAGCAGCCCCTCAGCATACTCACAAGTGCCCACAGTTACCGAAGGAGCAACAGCCAGATGCAGAGATAGCTATGCCATTCTCATGATTACAGAAGTTGGAAACAGTGCTTTTGTCCTTGCAGAAATCAGTGTCAGCAGCTTTGTTCACATGAACATTTGTTCGCACAGTTCCGGTGCTGTAACTGCTTACATGTTGGGGAATCTGTCTTGTTTCCATAGTAGGTCCATTTCTAAGCTAACTGAACTTAGAAATTATCATTTTAAGAATTATATGGTCTGAAAGGTGAAAAGTGATGTTTTACGCAGCTCTTTGTTGTTATAGGGAACATTACATTTTCTATAGGATGAAAGGAACAATTTATTTTACACTCTTTCAAGTTTTCAAAACTTCAAGGATGGTAGTTGCCTATTTGTATGTTGTATTCTACCATGTAACTCTTACCATGTTTACAACAAAATTGAAATTGCCTCTTGATTTACCATTTTAATGTGTCTTTGTCTGAATTGCATATATTTTCCAATATGTTTTGGAATTTTCCAAGTGCAGGGCTTTTGGGGATAGGGAGTTCTTTGTACTACCAGGAATAAAAAGAAATTGGTGTCTGAAGATGGCAAGAGTGTGTGTGTGTGTGTGTGTGTGTGTAGCTATATATAAAGAGAGGGAAAGAGAGAGAGTGCACAGTAATAAGGAATATAAAGCTGTACCATTGTTCTGTATAGAAGGTGAATAGAAATTATTGAAAAAGTCGGAAGAAGTATAGTATTGTATTTGTAATGATATTGTTCTTTGTAAACACTATACTTGATGAGTTCTATATAAATATATATATAAATATACGAAATGTGAGACTGGAATGTTGATACTGCACACGTACTGAATGTAATTTTTCAGACTCTTGTCACAAGTCCCAGCTCCCCTTCTTTATAATGCAACTGCAGTGACTTGGGGGATTTGATTTTTTTAAAACTATATTTTTGTTGGCCTGTTTTGTTGTGACATTTTATGTGTGCTACATTCCTTTACAGAGTGCTAATGTCTGTAAGATTTGCAACAATAAAAAACAAATATATCAACAACAAAAAAGGCAGTAGATACAGCCAAGACTTCATTAATGTTGATTTAGGCAGGCTTCATTCCTACTGAGCTACCTATTGAACAGCAGGTTCCCTTTTCTGCAGTTTTTCAGACCTCCATAACCCTTGCATTCTCAGTGGACAGAAAATTTCCCAGTTCTAGGGATGGATTGAGTAGTATTGTTTCACCAAGGAAGGATACCGCTGGTGGACTGGGACTTCCACACCCTCTCCTCCAGCCTACAGTACCCCACATACCCTTCAAATCACCTCCCAGGAGTCCCTGCTTCTAGCAGCAGTATTCTGCTTGCAGAAGTATATTATATCCAAGTGTTAATCATTGCCATTTCCAACAAAAGCTGGCATTAATTCCCCTCTAAAATGCATTGTCCTAATATAGTGATTTTTCACCACTAGCATTTAACTTGCTTTAAATGCACAAGTATATAGAAACCAGCAAGATGATTATGAACATATTTTTCCTTTAAGCTTCTTAAGGAACAAAGGCTGATCAAAGACTGTATACTTTGATCAATAGGCAATACAGGCCTACAGATCTACTTGACCTAGACTGAGGTCACAAAACAGTGTACAAACTTAGCAGTGCTCCAGAACTCTTTATTAGGCTGGAAAATGGTAAGCAAAGAAAATGTATTGTCTGTTTACAGGCCAAGACAAATGGCATTAAGGTACTGAATATATACATGAGTGCACACTTTAAAGTTTCTGCATCATTACCCGCATCTTCTAATTTGGATACTTGTTACTACTCTAACAATGCTGCTTCATGGTCTTCGTGCAAACATACCTATGTGCTCGACATGCAGTGCAAGGCCTCAACTGGAAAGAACCTTCCAAAGCTTGGCACCATGGAGTGGGCAGGAGCCGGGTCCGCCACCTCGCACAGACAGCATATAAGCTTTGGAAGTTTCCTTCCAGTTGAGGCCTTGTGCTGCACGTCAAGCCCACTGGTGTGAATGTATGGATGACCACTTGAAGAATGACACTTACAGGTAAGCAACCTGCCTGTCTACAGAGGTCTTCTCAATGGGTCACAGTAATTCTACACGTGGATTCTGCACTTGTGCATTCCCACCAAGGAGATGGGAATAGCAGTAGCCACCTATCCCCTAAAAGCATATGGTAAGCACCTCTGATTCAGTTTTCATTTGTGCACTGGCTCAGGGAAGTTTTTCTCAAATGTTTCTCTAAGCAGTGAGCTTTAGCTATCCTTTTTTTCCTTCTTTCTATATTAGGAGAAATAGCACTACAGTAATTATAAAGTAACTTGATTCAAATGAACCCTCTTCTATTTCACTTATTTCAGCTAGAGAGCTGCATTTTGAGAAAAGTTTGAGAAGAACCTATGGTGTAGCAGGATAGAAATGGGAGGGGGACCTTGTGCAAGTGAACAGAAATGAAATTAGTGGTCACTTCCTGCTCTTTCCTGTACACACACCTGTTACATGTGTCCCTAAAACATTCACCCTCCATGTGGTCATTGAGCCTTTTAAAAAGGCTGCATGGGATTGATGGATGCTTTTTAACTACCTTATTGCAATACCTGAGGGTACAATTTTTCAGGGCTTCAAACAGCCCTTCCATTCCCAGCAGCTCTACCCTGTATAGCAATTTGGGGCAGCCATAGGTTCTCCAAACTACTGGGCAGATTTCCTCACTTGGTATAAATTAACAGCAGCTTAATTTCTAATTGGCCTAACTAGTTTCCTCTAATAAAAGTAAAAAAGAGCTGCCAAATAACTTTTTAAAACAATGTGCATCAATTTCTATACATTAGAGAAATTAAACCATGCAGGTTGATTAACGCTCAACCCTCCAGCTAGTGGACTTTTGGCTAAGCTGACTGGCGGCAATGGGAGTTATAAGTCAACAACATCTCAAGAGCTATAGCATGTGGTTCTTGCAGTGTTCACTCAGTGTTCTAGGCCTGTAAGCACTGGAAAGCTAAATGATGTGGATAACCACTGACAGGCATGTGCCCAAAAGGTTGAGTAAGTTGAAATACCATTAAATTCCATAGCCAAGATGCTATATGAAGCACAAAGGCTCCTACTCTGAAAGGCATATATATATATATGTAAAACATGAGAGGGGGTGAAGAGATAATATATATTGGCTCCTGCTCCAAACAATTCAATGAAGAAAGACTGGGTGTAATGGTACTGCCATGGAAATTCACTACCTCTGGAGAATCTTTGCCTGAAATGAAATGTTTTCATTTTGAGGAATAGAAGAACTACTCATAAAGAGTCTCACTGGACTTTGAATACAGTGTAGGTAGATACAGCTAGCTGGGAAAGAGCTCCCCAGATTCTGAGAGAGGAATACATAACTGTGTTCAACTATATTAACAGGGATCTATAAAAAGAAAAAAACTAGGCAACTCTCCCCATTGAGATTGTGTGATTGCTTCAATTAATTCTTGAGTATTTTCCAACATAGGCATGCTTTTGTAATACACAAGCTTCAAGCAGATGATACTACTGTAAACTATTACATATTTAGAAATAAGCCATTGTATAATTTGGGACTGTGTTCTAAAAATCCCACAAAGGCCACAGACTTTCATGTTGACTAATTAAATGCTTCAGAAGCCAGACACACATACTTTGAGGGCAGAAAAGTTGCTCTGGAATAAACTCCCACTGCATTACATATAATTCAACCTTTCATCTTCAGGGCTGAACTCTGAAAAAGTGCCTCTAGGTTTGGAACAGAAACTAGCTGAGCATAGCAACTGCCATTTCCCAGCCCTCAAGTAGTTAAACTTCCTTTAGGAAAACAGGACAATTGGCAGCTTATAGAAAGAACTATAAACTCAGCCCATGGGCTCAGCCCATGGCATAAAGAAACACTATAGTATATCTTTGTTTTGACTCTAGTTTTACTGTAATGCATTTCATCATGGGAAAATTAAGGATTTTTTTAGTTGCATTAACTGGCTGAACAGCTAGGTTTCAGGATCTACTTGGCCTGCTGAAGAAAGCATTATCCCACTGATATCCAATAAAGGAATGCTGCTCTGCAGCAAAAAGTTGGGGAAAATGTTTCTTCATTTAACATCATTAAGTCTACAGATGGGGCTAATTCTATCCTATACTTCCTTTAACAGCGGGGGTAGGGAATTGTACTGTTCATCAAATGTGAAATCACAGACATAAAGTGTCTCCAAGCAAGTAGAAATAATGCATGGTTTCCATAAATACCAACATATACACATTCATTTCGTCCCAAAAGAGGAAAATATTCCTCAAACACAGTGATGACGCCTGAATTGTGTCAAGCCAATTGTTGGCTCCCCCTGGAACCACAGCTCACCTAAGGATTCCCCAGCATTTAATGTACCTTGGGAAGAAGGGGCGAGGAAGTCTGCTTCCACCAGTCGACTCACACTTTAATCTGGATCCAGATTGCATTTGATGTTGGGTCTCAGAGAGGAACTCAGAGCACTGTCTCCCGTACAACTCCAATGAGACTATGAGGTCGCTCATGCTCTGGCCTCTGGGTTCTCCTCTCTAGCAGCCGAGTTTCTGCTGTAGTGAAAGTACTCACATCCCCACAGCTCTCCAAATGCAAGAGTCCTGGGTGCCTTCTAAAAGGCAGTGTATGGGCTCTTGATGTAGATGGGTGACCAGGGGTCATTACCTTTATAAGGAAAGAGAACATTACAGTGGACATGTTAGTTTTCCTTATAGTGCCTCTTTCCATACCTGTTTTTATTTAAAGAGAACAGAAGTCGATGTCATAATGGACATGATGGAAATTTAAGCTGTATTTCAGGAGTTGAAACTGGAGTCAAGCGATTTAATGAAAAATAGTCAAGTTACATGTAGACTTTGAAATTGGACATTTACTCTATTGAGCAACATTTTATTTCAGAGGGTACTCAAAAACCAGGCCCACAGTATGTGTATACCCTGTCACCTCCTGTTCTCATTATTGGTGGGCATCTAGCATTCATTCCCAATGACAAAATTACTGTTCAGCAGGATACAAGTTGTGCCCACTTTGTAACTTTTTTCAAAAATGGTAGTTTCTGAGCTAGACCAGAGAATAAAAGCAGACACATGTGTCAAAATGGCTGGCCTGGAAGAGTGGGGCACTTTTAATATGCAGTTCCCAACTCAGTATGAAATTTTGCACTGAAATAAAAGAATGAAATAACTTTCTCTGGGGTTTGGGAAAGTGTGAAAATGATGTTGAAATCTGAACTTAAGTCAATCAAGATCAATCCACAATTTCAATATATTTACCCAGCATCACATTCAACCCCTCAAATAAAAAGAACCCCAAAGTGTCTGATCTGACTGATCTATTTGGGTTTTTTTTCTCCTTTCCCAGAACACACTTAACATAAGCCAGCAGCCACTGACAAAGGTCATGCACTGAATTGTCGTTCACTTCAAAAGTGAAGCTGCAAACAGGATCTCTGTTCTGGAATCCAGAGATGCTGCTTACACTGAAGAAACATTTAGTTGTTCAGCTACAATAATAAACTACCTGCTCAAGGAAGCTGGCACTGGTGATGGCTTCTTCCATATGTTCTTCATCTGATTTTAAAACGGATTTTATGTCTTCTACTAATTCATGTACATCAGGGGTCATGCTGCTGGAAGACTGTTCCAGGAACTTTGCCACAAGCAGCTTAGTATCAATGTATGATTTATAGTCTATCAAAGACCGAGGCCTTGAGCGCAAAGACTTTGCTCTTAAACTCTTCCGTAAAATGACAGTAGCCAGTTCTGGTTTTAATTCTGTTTGAGTAGCAGCTTCACAACTTAGCACTGGAGCTGGAGACAAAGAGAAAAATTCACCGTACCATCTGAGTAATTTCAAAGAAAAAGCACACACATGCAGAGATAGTGGGGTCACATAACTAAAAGGAAAAAAAATCAAATAATGCAACACAAATGCTATATTATTATTGGAATGAAACAATTTGATAATGCTTCTCAGAAGTCATATTGGAAGAATGTCAGAAGAATGGGAAGAAATCTATTATTATCAAGTCATCCATCTAGCATAAGAACTGCACCATGGATACTTAGCATTAAGTGTGGACTTCTGGTATAACAATGTTTAAACATGCACTTTTTAAACAGCCAACAAAATGTCATTAGATCATTCCTGTTCTTGGTTCCACCAATGACATTATTTTCTTTCCTTCTTCAGTCCCCCAATTGGCTGAGTATGCATCTATAGATACATTTCCTGTGGCATTTTACTAATTTTATTAAATTTACTAATTTTACTCACAAGAAGAAAAATGTGTGATACAAGTGCAATGCCATAGTGGCGGTGGTGAATAGGGTTGGCACTTGAGGGAAGCAGAACTGGTTGTAAAAGTTCTTTCAGTGGTTATTTATTTTACAGTCATGATGTTTAAGTCCTATGTGTAAAAT